TGTAGCCAGCCTAGATTCTGGGCAGCTGCAGCCGGCAGGCTGCAAACAGCTGCATTGGGCTCCACAGCCCCAGCATCCGCTCCATACTGGCAACTGCATGCGCACCTCAGAGCACAGAGCAGGGGAGAGTTGCACCGCCTCAGACCCTATCCCTGCTCTCTGCTCTAAGGCTCACGTGCAGTCGCCAGTATGGAGCAGATGCTGGGGCTGCAGAGCCTGGTGTAGCTGTTTGCATCCTGCCCGCTGCAGCTGCCCAGAGCCCACGCGGGCTAAAGGCAGGGGCCGGCAGCAGCACCGGGCTTTTCCAGGCTGCGCTGCCTCAGGGCCCCCCTCCACCATCCACTCTGAGGCGCAATGCCAGAGCCCAGAGCAGCTCTTTGCAGCCTCCTGGCTGCAGCCATGCCAGGCTCTGGGTAGCTGCTGCCAGCCATAGAGCCTGGGCTGCTTGCGGCAGAGCTTGCAGCCTCCCAGCTGCCTGCTGGGAACAGCCTGGGCTCCATGGCAGGCAGCAGCTGCCTCCTTGTCTGTCTGTCTCTCTTTTCCTCTCTCTCTCTCTTGCCCCTTCCTCCTTTCAAAACTACGGCAAAAAATCTGGCATGCCATACATTGCGCAGCACTTTAAATTCCTCAGTAATAATTTGCCACACTGTGCTTTGCGTGGCACTGGGTTCAGCCCTCCTAGCTTTGGCCAACATCACCTCTAGCCCAGGTACATAATGGAGTTGTGCACCCCTGGTGTAAAAGGTGGCAACCCTACCCACACCAGATCAGTCATCTGTCATCTCATGGCCTTATATACACAGCCCTTCTTTCAACATATGGCACACATTAGTTTGTAAATATAAAATCCCCTGGAAAATAGTGTGTTGGGGTAGTTATTAAAATTTTCAGAAGTTAGGGGGTACTTGCTACTTAAAAGGTTATGAAATGCTGCTTTAATTAAAGTGTCCCTGCCCTGGGAGCACATGTAAAAACACACCAGGAGACTAGTGACTGTGAAAATTGAAGAATCCATATCATTTTCTGGATATTAAATCTCAGTTCCCTGATTAAATTTCAGTTCAGACATATTAAGCCAGGACTCACTGAAGGAGCAATCGGAGACACAAAATGAAACAGAGAGAGGACAGAATCATGGAAACCAAGGGACAATGAGATCTTTAGAAGATGAGCATGGTTGTCTGTTTAAGGCAACTGTCTTGGTTGATGAAAAGAAAGATGGATCAGTCCTGAGCTATGGATAAGAAGAGGTAAGAGTGTTTTGTAGTTTAGTTTAAGGTGGCAGTCAGATTGGAGAGGGTCTGGGATGGAACTGAAAGAGAACTCCAGACAACATATTGTAAATGCCACATTCACCGCACTCATCAAGAAAAGGGTGGTAAAGGCAGCAGTGGAAGAGGCAAGGTTTTTCAAAAGGAGGACAAGATAAGACATGCTTGCGCTATGATCAAGACAAGCCAGCGGAGAGCAAGCGTAGATGAGGAGGATGAGAATAAGCACAAGGGAAATCAGGACACTGGCATGAAATAGAGCTTCTGGAACAAAAAAAAGAGATGAAAAACTTCAGAAGAATGTTGTAAGATGAGAATGGGAAAGGGAACATTGTATTTTGTCAATTCTCTCTCAAAACCAGCATGATCTGATGCAGAGGGAGAACTGGATAAAGGAAGAGGGCAGGATTTGAGAAGAAAGGAGGGGAGAATCAGGACAGTGAAAAGCAGCTGAGACTTCAGGCACAGGACTCAATTATGATGAACTAGAGCTGTTTAGCAAGAAATATAGCAAACATGCAGCTGAATGAGTCAGATGAATCATCAATGTGGAATCCAATGTCACTGAGGAAGGATAAGTGTGGGAGATTGTAAGAGGAGTGCAAGCAAGTTAGAAATCCAAGTCAAGACTGATGGATCAGGGCTGTGTGGACAGCAGACGAAGGCAGAAAGGATGGGGAGAGAGGAGTTGGATGCAACACTGTTTAGAAGACACGAAAGTAGGGAGAGAAAGAAGGAAGAGAAGACCAATGCAGCAGCGTAACTAGGGCAGGGCAACATGCCACCGGGGTGAAAAGGGGGAAAGGAATGGGAAAAAAACAGCTTCTGCAGCAACCGAACAGTCATGGCACCAGCAGCAACTGGAAGACCGGAAATCACTGCTGCCCTTATGGGTGGGAGCTGCTCCAGGCAAACTCCTGCACCTGCTGGATCGATTCTTATCTGGGTCTGATCCAAGGCAGGCAGTGGAGGAGAGAGCCATACCATATTATATCACATTGACTGATATGCCTTGGACAGTTTGATTAAAGAGTCTTCAAGACTAATACAAGACTGAATTATTGTATGCTGTTGCTGTGTGCAATAGAAAGCTAGTACAATCCACTGCAGAAGAAAGTGAATTAGTGAAATCCTGAGGTGAAACAATTTAATTCTTACAAGTATCTTGTGAAGGAGAGAAGTGCTCTGAGTGCAATTACTGTTAGAAGATAGCATTCCCATCCGCACTGCTATCTGCACTGCAACCTAAGTAATAGCAATTAAGGCACAGCAGAGGCACTGTGATTTACTTGTCATTTTGCCAGTACCATAAACAATTACACAATAAATGCCTATTAGTTATTACTTGTTCTCGTGCTTTCTCCAACTGCCGAACAAGGTCTTCACGCTCATGGGCTGCGAAATGGCGCGCTCCAACTTCTTCATCTCCAAGCCTCTGTTTTGCTATCGTCATTCTAAGGAGCTGCAAGAAAAGAGATGAACTGCGTAAGCAATGACACAGATCAAGAGCTTTAACAATATTAGCAGGCTATCCTGCATCATTAGAAGAACAATTCATAGTTAGAGAATCTGTCCACTTTCCCCACATCTCAAAACGAAGCATTTCACAGGAAATATTTACTATCTGTAGACCCAATCCCGTTCTCACTGAAGAAGCCAATGGCCAAATATTCATAAGCTCTGGTGATGGTTAGACTGGTCCTTAAAGCAGCAATTAGTTTTTTTTATGCAAGGGCAGATGCTTCAGGAAAGTATACAAATATGGGCTACATTATCCAGAAATGACTATTCTGAATTTTAAGGTTGTCACCACAACTGACTCTTAAGAGAGAGTTTTCAAACATGCATCCCAAAGTTGCTTCCAGATGAAAATAAGTATCATTAAGATCATTTTAGATGAGGAAAATACAACAACATAAAAGTGATTGGAACATGGGGTTTGGTTTTGGAGTTGTATGTGTAATGCAGGGAGGTATACGTTGGCACAGAATTAACATTAGACACTGTTTTTAGATTTGTTCCTATATGAAAACAATTAGTATTCTGGACCACTCAACAGTGATAGGTTAAAAAAGAAAAGAAAAACCACAAGGAGACAGGTCAGATTTTGGGGGGCGGAACCCTTTGTTAAGATCTTCACCAGATTTAATGGCTAATGAAATAAGTTTGACTTGAATTAGTAACCATTCCTTCTTATTACTATTGTTAAATAGCAGCTACCATCAGTACTGGGTAGGTATTAAGAATTAAAACAGTGCAAGATAAGCAGCAGGCAGAGTGCATAGCTTAAATGAACACAACATTTACAATTTTTGGACTTTGCACAGCTAGAAAAAGAATGCTACATCCCAGTGGCCCAATTTGTGAGATCTCCACAGAGGCCTGAGAAATCTGCAATAAGAACTCCCATGCCTTTCCCCACATTTTTCAGCTGCACAAAGGAATTAATGTGCATCATTATATTTCAGAGTTAGAAAAATCAATCTTCTGAAATAGAAAACTGTACATTAAATCTATCTTCTGTATTTATAGGATGCCAGTCACTGTAGTGCTGACGTGCCAATTACAGTCCTGGTGGTACAAGACAAGCTACCTTCTCTCCTATACTTGAGCCCCAGTTTGGCACACAATGGTGAGGGTACTTACTACAGCCTGACTTAATAAGCCCCAAAAAGCAACTTGCAACTCCCTGGTGATGCTGTGGCCCACAGTTTTTATTTTAGCAAGCTACAATTGCCCCTTTCCCCCCCAGGGAAAAGAGGGCAGAATATAATGTAGGGCCAGGCAGATGGGGGCCACATGAGGAATAGGCTGCAGACCAAGGGCTGCTCACAACGGGGGCAGTGCTGCTTCCCCTTCTAGGCTCTCCCCTGCTGTGTAAGGCAGCCCAGCTCCCCAATGCCTCCTGGCTACATGCACTGTGCAGGCAACCCAACACCCCACTTCTCTCCTGGCCATGTGTGCGGCACGGGCAGCCCCCTCATTTTGCAGCATAGGTAGCCTGTCTTCTTCCCACTGTACGTACAGCACTCCCCTACCCCACTATACATGCTGCACGGGTACCCACACTCCACTCACTCCACCACCAAAAGCAAGGGAAGGAAGAAGCTGGAGGAGGGAAAGGGAGTCCAAAGAACCCAGCTGCCATGGCAGGAACAATGGTGGGAAGGGGCGGTAGTGGCAGCTGTGCCATGAGCCCAAAAGCCACATACTAACTCCTCAGGGGCTGCATGCATCCTGCAGGGCACCAGTTAGAGAGCCCTGTTATGATGAGTGGCTCTGAACCTGTCGTGGGAAACAAGCTAACATTTTTAAAACAAACATATTCTGGAATGGGGGCTTGGCTATGGAATCATTTTTTTTTTATATATATATAT